ATCTATCCATCTATCTATCCATCTACTATCCATCCATCCATCTATCTATCCATCTACTATCCATCCATCCATCTACTATCCATCCATCCATCCATCCATCCATCCATCCATCCATCTATCCATCTATCTATCCAATCCGTCTATCCGTCTATCCATCCATCCATCCATCCATCCATCTATCCATCCATTTATCCATCCATCCATCCATCCATTACGGGCAACTAACTGAAATAAGTTGAAGGTTTTTTTTACTTTTTAGTTTCCCATATTTATATTTTATAATTTTTCAGCTCAAATAACAATTTTACTCAAATTCACACTACCACAAAGGACAAAAACAAAACAAAAAACGTTACAGATCTGTGGTATTACTGTTCGATACCATTAATGTACCACAAAACCAGCCCCGTATGTCCGATGTGTCAATCTGAAACAACACTGTATTTGACACTGTTTCCCAGAAGACGAGCGAGTTATTGTTCTGACAGCGATGGACCGTCCCGGGTCAAAGGTCACCTGACAAGGACGTTTTCACTCAACAAAAACAAACCAAAAAAAAAAAACCCTGTTTATCAGGTCAACACATTCTCCTTCAGGCAGCGAAAGACGAAAGACTAAATTACTCCACATGTCTGTGTGGGAACTGAGATGTGCTGTCCCATGATGCTTTGCACCATTGCTTTAGTGTTAATTAGGAAATAACACCAAATGATGATCATAACAGGCATATAACAACGGTATGTCACAGATGCAGAACACACATCAACGCTTTTACAGATTTAAAGCCATATGGAAGTGCATTGCGAGAGCTTTCAGATAAACCCTGGTTACAAACAAGCCTTTCAACACCTCTCTTGCTCTCTCTCTCTCTCTCTCTCTCTCTCTGTTTTTTTCTCTGTGGAATCCCGTTGTTTCATGGCTCTGGGATCCGGCTGATTCGGCTTGCTGCAGTGGATATGAATAGGTGCTGATGTTTACAGATTCCTCAGGCTTCAGACCTCCAGAAACACTTCAGACTGGACCAAAGAACACCGGAGCGGAGCCGGATTCAAGTTTTCATATTTAGATTATTTGGCAAGACGATATTATTTTCGTTATTTTTGTTAACATTTATACAAAAAAAATACAAACGTTAGTTAAACCGAAATTAGAAAATTTGCCATGGTAACTAAACGAAAATAAGCAACTAAAATTGCCAAAACTAAAGAAATAATTAAAATGACAAAAAGCACATAAATTACTAAAACTGCAATTAAAATGAACACTGAAAATGTATAAATAAAAGCTAATTCGTTTATTTATGTAGCTATAAATAACATGGTCACGTTTTTTGTCACTTTTTTTTTTTTTTTGGCCTTTAATTTATTAGGAATAAATGTATACATTCAATGTGATTCTAGTACTTAAACTTAAAAAAATAAATGCTTTCTATTTTTTTATATTTCTCTCTCACCCTCTCCCTCTCTATATGTAAACAAACACATTTTTTATTTATTAATTATATTTATTTTAAATATCCAGTATTACTATTTTATTTTATTTTATTTCTGTTTTATTTCACTTATGAATATTTTTCAGTTAACAATAATAACAGTTATGCCAATTCCTTTAATGTTTACATATTTCTTTATGACTTGTTGCATCACATTACTTTTATTATGGCAGATATATTTTTTAATATTATTTGAATAAAATGGCTTCAAACTAAAATCATATTAAATCTTAAACTAAAATCTAAAACTAAAAGCTAATCTAAAGCATTAATAATAAATAATATCATAGTATATATAAAATATTAAAATAGCACTGGTCCACCACAAAAAATGAAAATTCATCTGTTTTCTCAACCTCTTGATATGATCACATCTTTGGTCATTTTAT